CTAAAATTCTAAATTTTAAAAATGTATGTTAATTAGATGGCGGCCATTATGGTAAAGGTGTATTGCTCGTGCGCTTTTCCTCATAAAATATGAATTAAATATGAGTATATGTTTGTTTACCTACTTGTTCAGTCTGACTAGAAAACCTGTGGAAATCCGATTTATGAATTTCCCAAACCCATAAACGTTTTCTTGGAAGATTGGCTGACAGTTTTGATTCACTTTTTCGCCTCAGTGATTTTTAATTGGGAAGGTCAAGATGTAGTGTGCAGTTTGAGGTAAAATAAACTTTACAATGTTGTATGGTCGAAACATTGGAAAAATTAGAAAATGTAGTGAAGTTAAATGCAGCTGAAACTGCATTTATTTCAAGTAAAATTTTCATTTTATAKTACCAGTGACCAAAAGCTTTATCTATTCTGCTCTACTTAAGACGCAATAAAAGTTCAAACGAAATCCGATGCCATGGCRCATGCGCACTATTAACTAGTTAGCTTTTTGGCTTAAAATTATACTGTTTCTATATTCAATAAAATTTTAGCTCATAGCTCTCGYCATAGCTCTTAAAATCTGAATTTAATAAGTACTCGAGTTTCTTCCATTTCGTTATGTGGACAATAATTTATTCCAAAGCCCAGGTGCATTGAAGCGTCCTATAATTGATCAGATATACTYTAAACTTAGTTTCCCTAAAATCCCTTAAGAAGATAAAAATCACATCAGTTTTAGATATTGTTTGTTGTGTTTTATTGGTAAGACAGTATATGACGTTATAATACACTTAAAGGAAAATATTCTTGTTAAATGCTTAAAAGCTCTGTTTGACCAGACGAGAGATTTATCAGATTCGAACGTCTTCCGCTCTGTCATTGGTGGAGTGCGCGCAAAAAGGTGTCTCTCAGATTTTGCTTTATTTTTTCTTCGCACGATATACTGACGTAGTCTGACGTTATCAAAGAGCGCGTAGATACTTTAGTTGGAGAAACACTCATAAAGCATCATTTCCGATTGCGCTGTTGTAACCGCGAGAACTTTTCGCGTCAATCCACTGTCCATTAGACGACATCACGTAAACATAAGAACAAATTTCTCTTTATCTGCTGTTGGAAATTTTTCGTTTTTATTTGAAATTCGGTTTGATAGCAAAGCACAGTCAACTCTTGCAATTACGGATACCTGTCGGGACCGTAATTTAGTGTCCGCAGTAGCGAGGGTCCGTAGAAACGAGTGTTACTTTCAGTCATTACTTTGTATTTTTCGCCGGGGATTCAGTATTTACTGTCCGCAATATCGAGGTGTCCGTAAGGCGAGAGTTGACTGTATAGTGATATTTTTTTAAAGTATAGACAGCTTGAACCCACATATATCCTGAGATAAGAGTACTTTTATCACAATAACACAATACAATTATATATAAAATTTCTTGGTATAAAGTTGACTCAAGTTTAGACAGCCTGTTTCATGAAATTCGGCATTTGCCGAAGTCAGGGTAAATTACAGCAKTTTTTTTCGTTTTGTTAACGTTGTCACTGAATTTACATTAACTTCAGCACATGAGAGAGACGGCGTTTGAAACAAGCTTTAATTAACAATATGTATTTTAACTACTATTTGCTTAGCTTTTCAACCTAATGACACCATTAGTCCCAAAACTATTCACTAATACAAAACCAAGTACTCGCTAGATAAATATTCTCTATTTTCTAATTAAAACATATAAATGGAGGTACTTAAACAAGGCCGACAAAGCTCGTACATATTTACAACAGAACAATCACCAGAGAAATAAACCAATTTTGATAGTAATGGATTAAAAGAAGATCTCAAAGACATGCAATTATTTTTGTTCTGTGGAAAATGTTTATCGAGAGTGCACAGAGTCCATTATGTTGATTTTGGACAGATAGTAACCTTGRGTTTCCGGCAAAGCGGGATTTGATTTCGGCACTAGCAAAAGGCGAGTGTTGTATTCTGTAAATATTTTCCTTYAGGAGTAATTCTAATTATTGATAATTTCGTTTCTATGACTATGTAGGAAAACTAATGCCTAGAAGCTAGGTAAATATCCCTCTAAGTTTGATTTATGTAAGCCAATATACATCRTGATAAAATAAATACGAAGAGCTAGCGGTAAATATAGAAACAAAAAATGCGAATTCCAGTGTTTTCTAAAAAACTAAAGCTAAAAAACTCAATTTCTCGATCCTTCGCGCTTGACTGTCATATAGTATATTTTCCCCAATTAAGGAAATCCTCTTAAGAGGTTTTATCAGTTAGAGCTCTATATTACTTCCAAATCGTCGAGATACTTTTATCGTTCGGATCGTATATCCTCTGGCGATCAGTTCATAGTTTGCTGTTCAATATATTGCCCAAGTCATCTGTATTTAAGGCMTATTTCGACATTCTGTTCAGCATTTATTAAGGTCTGTCAAAGGACAACTTATTTGAATGTTCACCCGTCGCTCGGTCATACAAAGACTTCTTTGTTTGTACCCATTTCGTCCAACTCCTTCGGTCGAAGAGCAATCGTCTCGCTCAATTCATAACTGCCCTCGTTTCTCTTTTTAAGTCGATATACCAAAAAAGCAACCAAAAGAATAGAGAAAAGGGCACCTGCTAACAAAGCTATTAAAATTTCCACAGTAACAAAGCCGAATAAAGTTTTTCTCGGCTTTTCTGTTGGGTCTTGCTGAGCATGTACGTTCACCGACGATATTGTTGACTTTGWKGTAGGTTTGACTGTGGAAATTTYGACTTCTGTCGAAACTGTAGAATTTTTGCTTGTRTTCTTTGTAACAACAACGGGCTCTCCAGTTCCATTGATTATAATACTCGAAGATTCAGTGGTCGGTTTATTTACATTTAGTTGAGATGTTGGGATTTCATCGGAGGTGGTCGAAGGCTCGCCGGTTGTTGCTTTAACCGTTGTTTTCGGTTGTGTTGTGACCTCAGTTGACATCGATGTAGGGCTTTCCGTAACGCTAGTTGAACTTGAAACTTGTGTACTAGTTATAGTCCTTGCTGGTTCGATTGCGATGGACTCCGATGAAGTTGGAGACTTTATTGATGATCGCGGAGTACTTTTCGTACTCGCTATGGTTGAGTTAGAACTCGGGGAACTCCGTATTTTGGTAGCAGCAACATTAGTCATGGTTGAAGAAGTCTGTTTAGCTGCTGTTATTGTCGGTGAAGGGGAAGGAGAAATTACGCTTGCTGTTGATGATCCGTTATCAAAAACATTCATAGGTTGATCATTAAAGACAGCAGTCTGGAAGTGATCACTGTTCGTATCTCCCGATCCTTCCGAGGTAGATTTGGAATCTTCATCRTCTGCTCCAGCTCCCTCAGAATCATCGTTGTTTGAAGGAACACTTCTAGCGACAACTCGAGCTTTCACATTACCTTGATCGTCGGTAGTTTTAACTTCAACGAGTTCAGTGAGTTTTGAAGCAGAGAATTGCTTGACATCGTTGCAGTTGACTTCAAACACGACCAAAATTGCGACAAAAATCGCACCGGCTACTCTACCCCTCATCGCAAACTCGCGAAGATTAATCTTCTTTTAACCGTTCGCTTGTTCTAACAACACTAGATCATTTTGCCTCAAGCGACACTACAGAATTTCCTCACAGATTCGCTCTCTTGTGATTACTGCACTTCGGTTGAGATATCTCAATTTGAGTGACCTCCCGTCGGGCTACGACGATATAGTCCCAAACCATTGACGTGTATCAGCCGAGGGTTTGAATGGAACTGACACTGTTCAAATATACATGACAATGTGGATTGAATGTGGGATTTGGTCATCGTATTAGGAGGGGCCTCAGAGAGTTAGACAATTCGAAACCACCAGTTGTTGTCTAGGCGACGGCTRAACTCACGTTTTAATAACAAGTCGAAAAAATTAATGTTTTAGTTTTTCAGCTGTTCCGAATATCAAGTTCACAATAAGTTTACAAACTGCTCTGGCTTAAGCAAAGCGGTAACGGTTTTTTCACGAAATAACTGGATCAATATCTATGAATATTTTACGACTCATCRCTTTGGCGAGCCAGAAATGCTTTCCCACGACGAATTATTATAATATTCATGAATTGAAAAATACATAGACTATATATTTTCGCGTTTTGGTTGAAATGTATTGGTTGGCGGCGTTCAATTGTTTATGCAAAAGTCACATTCAGCTTTTTGTTCTTGTAACACGTGCTAATTTCATGTTTTGAGTGAATTTATTACGAAAGCCACACGAAATACACCTGCCTCCGTCACTTTCAGTTTTTGTCTGTCACCACTAAACCACGTGCGCATTATCAAACTGGTATCTCAGSTTAAAAAGCCCCGAATTCTGTAATTAACTGTTTGAAAAGCATTTCYACCAATGACAAAGCGAGGAAGACAGTGGCATTCACTTAAAATGACACGCAAAAAAGTAAAAAATATCGTTTTTACTAAGTTTTCTGGTGTGATTTGATATTTTGTGGATAAAATTACATTTTTTTAATGGCTGAATTGAATTACGTCTACGACATGAGAAGAAAATACCGCAGTAAGGCTGATATATGAAATGAAAGATGACAAAAACTAAATTCGATATTACGTTGTTTATTGAACAATATCTGTTAGGAATAGCCACTTTTTCATTGGCCATAAAACCATCAAAACTCGCCATGTTTACTACTTACTATATCCCCCTAGGATATCGTGCTTTTCAAAAGCACAAGTGAATTGCATTCAATATAATATTAAGTGCTCTGGACGCTGAAATTTTAAACTATATGGAGTGAAGGAAATGTCAATGAAGTGTCATCCATTCGTAATTCGGGTTGCGCACATTGGCTCGGGTTGTGACGCGGCTTCTCTTCGACTGTCAGTTTAATTCAACAACTGTTTATAGAACAATATAGGTAATTACAACTTCAGCAAAAATACCTTATTCTAATTAAGAAAATAACTCGTTATATATTTYTTTTCAAACAACGTGAATGTGGTAGACGATTAGTCTATCTTTAAAAGAAACGTTCGTTAAAATTTTTCTCTGGTTTTCCGACTGCATGTTATTGTCGACCACTTTAATTCTAACAGAATTAAAAATTGATCGCTTTAATATTAGCAGTCGTAAAAATTAATTGAATTTCTTTCTTTGCAAGATCTGTTCAAAATATAGTATTTTTTCCGCAACCAACATAACTCGTGTGCAGTCTTCTTTTGTTTTGTGATTCTAACATCTTTTGCATTAGATTCAGCACACGGGAGTCCTTATAGAAATAAAACAAACAGCACATCTCATCTACTGTGTGCAGAATATCAATTCGGCAAATTCAAGCTTAGAATTTATTTTTATTTATTGATTCCTTGAAAACTGAGAAGTGAATTTCCGTTCGGAATCAGTTTATTTTAATCAATAATATAATTTTTTTCCCGTCACTTTTCAAAAAAATTTAAAGGAAAATATAATTATTTCAAAGCTCTCATTTATAAATTGCCAAGCGTCTCGTTTAAACCAAATTAAATATGCCGTCTGCACAAATTATTGATTAAAATGTTTAACTTAATTTGCTTTAAAAAAGCAATCTTTATTTCAGCAATCAGTTAAAATCATTTAACGTTAGTRAATTCTTCAGAAAATTAACCAATTTGATAATTTCCTCCGCTCTGGGAATGAAAATTAGTTTTGRCGCCAAAAGTCCCCTGGCCGCGCGCGCGCCAATTTGATTGCAATCACAATTTCATCAGGTTTTTATGTTCCCTATCCTGTTTCCATTATTTTAAATGACTTTCTTGACAAGCTAAAAACTACAGATGAAGAAAGATTAGCCAAATGAGGAAAATTATCGAAAACTAAGTAAAATAGCTTGCAGCATTTTCGTTTTTTATTAGTTTTTAATGACTGCTGACAGAGTAGTTTCAAAGTTGTCAAGTCATTTATTTACATATAGCTTTCATGTATACAGAAAAAATAGTGTTTCGGTGTGATACGCAGAAAGCAAGTTCTTCTCATCGTTCGTAAACGTTAGTCGGGTATTTATTCTTGCTTTGTTTGTTGAGAAGACGACCATAATAGCGCCAAAACGTGGTGCAAAGCTAGATAAACAGCCAAGTACGAAAGCTCAATGAAGATCGAGAAAGGAACAATAAAACTTTTGTCGTCACTTTTTTTCCTTCGCATATATACAAATATGAATTTTGTCGACGATTTAACAGGTTTATGAGAAAATATCAATAAAAAATATGTCTAAGAATATACTAATGTTATTAATTCCATAGAAATTCTATCACCGCAACATTTTGAAACATTGATTTTGCTTGAAATTCCAGCCGGATGAAAAATCTTATTTATCTCCCGACTGTATCAAGCWATTGTGTAGTCTTTTCGAAAGCAACCATCCCTTGCTCAGCAGGACTACGAAAACTCAATATTTCTTCACAGTAGGGATTTTGTTCAGGAATTYGAACCATTTGAATGTGACGTCAAATGAGTCAGTGGTATCCGCCCCAAGACTCTTCAGGAAACTGAGAAAAATCTTGAAGATGCAAAAAAATGAACTCAATCAGTGATGACGGAAAAAAACAGTTATAACGTAACATACAGAACACCATCGATGGGATTCTAGGGATACCGTTTGAAGGAATAGCTGATTAGCTAGGAACGGTTGCCTGCCTGGAAAATTAAGTTGTAGCCCAAATAGAGATAGATTATTCAGGGTATGACATCAAACGTTTATAATGCGAAATAAGAAATCTAGAAATGTTCTAAACAACATATGAAAGACATTTTCTTATACAGAGCCTCTTYATAAATCATCATATGAAACTTTGAGGTGTTTTRAGAAACTGCGTACTGAAAAAAATSTAGCTTTTATAATTCGGTTTTACTTTTATGAAATCATGATGCGAGAAATTCTCGTTTGGACTGAAATCGTGCCCTTTCATGATAATTTGATAATAGTTATTAAAAATACGGTCGCCATCTTGAGTTAGATGTGGAACTGATGGGCTGCCTGTGTTCTTGGTGAGGACACAGGAAGCCCGTCACTACAACAATCTGCGAAAGAGACTTCTCCATTAATACGTCCAACTTATACAGAGATATTGATTAATATCGATCAACAATATAAAAGGTTGAAAATAGAAATTCTCAATATCAATTTTCAATTCAACTTTAGTTAACAATTTGGTTGTTGCGAGGCGTTTGTGACTGGATTAGTGAATAATCTTAACGAATTAACCGCCGGGGGGTGCCGCACGACCCTCAAAACCCTTACTCTATACCAGACCAATTTTTGTGATTTTACATACCCTACCCCAGACTAAAGGTGCAAAGGTACATTATTTTAGCGCTGAAAGCGTGGCCAAGCAGATACGATCACAGGCAAAACTCCACCCTACCCCAGACAATGTGACTATACCCTATCCTAGACAAAAAACTATTCTATCCCAGACAAAAAGCTACCATATCCATATCCCAGACATAAAGACTACCCTATCCCAGACAAATAGGCAAAACATGATACCCTATGCCGAGTTAAAGCTCTGAAAAAGGGACCCTATCGAGCGGCACATACCCGTATAGCAAATATAGGGGAGTACCCCTCCTCCCCCGGGAAGGGGGTTGGGAGCCTCAGTCTCCCCGTCTCTCTCCAAAGGAAGCCCAACCGCTCGTAAATTAAAAGAAAAGGAGTTTATATAGAGTTGCCTGTGGAGTAGGCTAGATTATTCACAGGTATCTATCATTGCACACTCAACAGTTATCTCGCTTCGATGTAAAGGCACGGCTACCAATTTCAACATGACGCAAGGAACCGTCAAGGAGATTATTGTCCAATCAAAATTAATACGCATAAAATAATCCTCTCTGAGGACAATCGTCTGAACTGACAGATCTCAAAAACAGCTCTTGTGTGAGTGGTGTTTCGTGCTGWTATAATAAGCTCTTTCAGAAGCTTAAGGATCTTATATATTATCATCAGTTCATGGTGTCAGGCTCAAGGGCACTTGGTCTGCGATCCTTGGACGTACTTGATTAGTTCTAAGTACTGTTTGTAGGAAATGTAAACATTGTAAATAGACGTTYCTCGTTTTATTTTCAAAAGCACGAAAAGTGGAATTGCTACTTGATTAGAGTAAACTCYCTCAACCCGTGAAACATTGCACACGTGAAACAAAAGTTGACTATAAAGAGTGATATTCCGGAAATAGACACAAAAGAAAACAATGCAATTAGAGCGTACTAAGGTGTATTAGAAGTAAATAATAAATAATAAATAACTTTATTTTACGAGGGTAGCACATTACAGTCAAAGACTGATAAACTCGTGGCCCTCCTCTCACACTCACTACCTCTACATTAAGTATTTTAGCACACAACACTCCTCACATTTATTTTTGCTGAGGGAGGAAAACCGGAGGACCCGGAGAAAAATCCTCGTGGCAAGGGAGAGAACAACACATCAAACAAACTCAAAGTCACATATGGTCCGTGCCCAGGAATCGAACCCGGACCACAGCGGTGAGAGGCCAGTAGCTTAACCACTAGGCCACCCTTGCCACCCAAATATCTATTTCACGGTTTCGTCACTCTTTCAATACGAGCAAAGATGCCGCCGCCTTGTTGGATGATCTTCATTCAAAATGCCAGCCATTAAGTGGCTTGTAAACCAATTTTATTTTAATTTTTGTTACAGAGTGAGCGCGAGGACTGAGAACGAGTGTGTCGCGCGTAGGTTGGCATGCGTTTTTTTAGAGCCGGGGTCAGCCTCACGTGTGTTTTAGAGCCGGGGCCAGCCTCACGTGTGTTTTAGAGCCGGGGCCAGCCTCACGTGTGTTTTAGAGCCGGGGCCATCAGCCTCACGCTGAGGAAGTGCAAGTGCACAAAAACAGGTCGACAGGTTGTCACGCCAGAATATCGTGCACTAGTAGTCCGAACTCGAAATTCAATGAGATTAAAGTCTACGAACAAAGTCTGAGATCTCAACTCTGTATGCAACATCACATGTTTTTCTTTTTCATCCGAGTAACTGATTTACGTCTTCATGTTTTTATTTTTTACGAATTTCTTTCATTAAACCGGCAGCAATTTTCATCTTTTGTGATGTTCATCGAAGCTTCTAGGCAAATTCGTCCAGGTGCTTGCTCTCTTGATTCAATAAAAATACATTATTGACGGGAATACATACTGTGAGTTAAGCGAGACACCTAAGCCGGTTTCTAGAAAACATTTTTTTTATAATTATTAYCAATGCCTTCATGAATTTTTAATCTACAAGAAATGAAATAATTGTTAGTCTCCGTCAACGGCCGTATCTTTAATATAAGATATTGTAAATCGGAAAAAATACACATAATGAATTTGGTCGTTAAGGGGTCACCATAAGAATTGTAGTGTAAAACAGGTTGCCTTGGAAGCACTATTTGAAAAAAATAATTTCTTCAGTGCCAATTTAGATGTCTGCGCATTTTGAGATAATTGAAATGTCCTTTTAGGTTTGAAATAAGAATGACGGAACTCAAATACATTTATTTTACGGGTCCTTTATTATAAAATGTTTGTTCAAGAGGCTAAAAACTTTGACTATTCAAACATTAAAACCTTTGAAAATTAGCATCAAAAAAGCAGTATTCCTGACGCTAAATTGTTAGAAGAGTATCACACGTTTTAATGAACCAGTTTTACAAAACGTGACAGATTTTTGAATGAAGGTGATTCTTGAACATTTTTTTCACCATTTTGCATATGTTCAGAAATGTCGCATCTTCAAACGTTGGAAATTTCATTTATTTAAAAATCTCATTACCTCAGAACATTATTTACTTTGCCTGACGTCAAACAATAATATTTTCTCATTGAAAAGAAATTGAATTCCCCAAATCAAGCTATCATCAGGGAATTTTAGAACAATTTGAATTTTAAAAGCAACCGCATGCGGCTGTTTCTGTGTACCTCCTTCCGTCATCTCGGCTTAATAAGGATATATCCACCAATTCAAGAGGGTTTTTTTATCGACAGATAAAACTTGTTTATTTTTTTTCACAGCGATGAATCTTTCAGCGTGATGCTGTCATCTTTGTGTAATATTTGACTTTGTATTGCTTTTTGTCCCTTTTTGTCATCCTCCTGTCSATTTGATACGTTTTTCTGAATTTCTTCTTCCTTTTTCAATGCTAAAGMGGTCGCCTGAACAACGTCCGCGTTGTTGTTAGTTCTTCCCTGCATACGACCAGTTTTACTCCCCTGAAACATACTAAATTTCTTGTTGCCTGTAATCCTTAAAACGTGAACACAGCAGAGTTTCTTGAAAGCTTTCTTGAAGGGCGAATAGCGAAGACTGTAAACAAGAGGGTTGCTGAATGAATTAGCAAACGCCAACCAAGTAGTAATAAACATTACAAGGTCAGAAACTCCTTCTCTACCGACGACCTTTCGGTACGTCCCAGTAACAAAGAAAGGAGTGTAGCAGACCAAAAACACGCCAATTACAAGCGCAAATGTTTTAGCTGATTTAATCTCTCGTTTTAACATGATAGTATTATTATTAGGCCTTTGCGATGTCTTCTCGTGGCAGCTTGAAAGTTCACTCGTGGTGGATGTTTGATACAATTGTCTCTCAATCGTGCTCATTCTTTTAACGTGCGAAAGTGCTACGCGGAATACGGCTGCATTTGTAAATAACATAATACCAAATGGAATAGCCACAAAACATGCTACAAAAATGAAAATATATGGGCTTAATTTTAACTCTGTTGAGTTTGTATTAGCTGCGCAGCCGTAGACTTCGGAACGAAAACGATAATCCGCAGCGGGAAGGTTGAGAAAAATGGACGGCAGCAACCAGAGGATTCCAAGAACGATAAAAACGCGTCGTTTGGTAACTAATAAAAGATACCTTAAAGGGCTTTTTATCGCTACATACCGATCAATACTCAAAAAACAAAGGTGTAGTATAGAGATAAACGCGAGTACCAGCCCTAATGTTGCCACAAAGTCACAAAGCGTCCCAGATGAAATCCAGTGTCCCGAAACGTCCGTTATGGCATGAAGAACCATTACAATTACCATCCCAAGATCTGTGGTCGCTAAACTACAAAGTACAATGTTTGCTGGCGTTCGCAGACCACGAAATTGTTTCATCGCTGCATATATCAGACTGTTTCCCACCATCGTCGCGGTGATCGTGATGAAAAACACAAGACATTTTGCCACTGTTGCAGCCACAGCATTTCCACGACCCGGCTCCGTTAAATTGGTCTTCACCAAAGTCTTATTGCTAAACATTGCAGTGAATTTAAAGTACACTGATTGCTTGACCTTGTGGCCAGCGAGCATGCAAACGTACTGCGGCTGGCTATGCTATTTTAATAATGAATAAAAATCGTAACTCGACGGGATTTTTAAGCATGGTTCTACTTCGATAGCGCTGCGCGCGTCGAATGAGACAGTCAGAGACGAATGCGCAATTGACAATGTAATCCACTTTTGATCTGCGCGTAACAAAAAGTAAATTTGTTRATAAAGCCGGTTGCAAGCTAATTTTTTTCGATTTAAGTTTTTAAATCATTGGCATATTCCCCTAAGGCAGGTGTCAATGTGTTATTTCAYGTCATCAAATCGGAAAATTGAACTATGATCATTTACGTCAGAACCGATCGGTACCACAATGGAACGGTATTTTGTTTATCTTATAGTTATTGTTATCATTTCTTTTCAAGTAGCCCAGCTAGCATTAAAAATTCATAGCTATGCCAATTTTAATTCCTGTAGGATTATAAAAACCTGCGACGACCTCCGCCGAAATTCCTATAAAAAACATCAAAGTTCCTTTTTAGACTTGATATACACTTTATACCAGATACCACAAGGAGATTATAAATTTCCTRCTTCGAATTGAACAGCATAGAAAGGACCAGAAAGTAATTTCCTTAGTTACAATTTGACACTCCCTTAAACAACATCAAATTTTTGATGTTGCATTTTTATTGTTTATCAAAAGTTCCCCATCCCCTGCGGGAAAATATACATGTCAATCAATTCTCCCGTTATTCGTCACTAAATATTGTTTTTATATCAGCAATGAAATCTTGTTTATTTTCAATATTCAGCGCATTTATTAATGACTTTTTTATGCATGACTCATGAGAGCAAGACTACAAAAGAGCTCTTCACGTTCAGTTTTGTTGGAACATTATCACTTGATCTGTAATATTATTTGTGATTAAGTTTCTTGCCTTCTTATCGTAATCTAATTCTGCTGTTGATGATCAAAGCGGCCTCCTTGAGAAGGAGCGCTCTTGAAACAGTGACAAAAACAAAAAAAATTCTGATATCTATTATGATCTTCTAGCCTTCCAGTCGAGATATAAAGTGTTGTTTTCGTAACGTAGGGTTATTTACATGTAAATTGAACAATTTATCAGCATGTCGCCCTCAAATTGCCAAGATGATCAGTTTATGTGCTTTGCAGGTGCAACGATGGTGCTATTTTGATTGGGGTTTTTACCCGCATTTCATTACTAATTCGGTCGTATTGCTTTTCGATTTTTTTTAAATCTGATTCTAGTTTCAATGCGTGTGGCGCGAGAGAGTTCTAGTATCTGTTCTGCTTCTGCGGTCGAATTGGAAATTATCGGGTCAGTGAAAAAGGCCAATGTAACNTTTTTATATCAGCAATGAAATCTTGTTTATTTTCAATATTCAGCGCATTTATTAATGACTTTTTTATGCATGACTCATGAGAGCAAGACTACAAAAGAGCTCTTCACGTTCAGTTTTGTTGGAACATTATCACTTGATCTGTAATATTATTTGTGATTAAGTTTCTTGCCTTCTTATCGTAATCTAATTCTGCTGTTGATGATCAAAGCGGCCTCCTTGAGAAGGAGCGCTCTTGAAACAGTGACAAAAACAAAAAAAATTCTGATATCTATTATGATCTTCTAGCCTTCCAGTCGAGATATAAAGTGTTGTTTTCGTAACGTAGGGTTATTTACATGTAAATTGAACAATTTATCAGCATGTCGCCCTCAAATTGCCAAGATGATCAGTTTATGTGATTTACAGGTGCAACGATGGTGCTATTTTGATTGGGTTTTTTACCCGCATTTCATTACTATTTCGGTCATATTGCTTTTCGATTTTTTTTAATCTGATTCTAGTTTCAATGCGTGTGGCGCGAGAGAGTTCTAGTATCTGTTCTGCTTCTGCGACTCCAGTTTCGAATTCATAGCGAATAACCGCTGCTTTATTTGACAACAGATTCTCTTGCGCAAAGACTTCTCGCTTACAAACACAAAAGAGAGCTCGAGAAAATGTCGTTATTACAATAGACTTGAAAATTTGCATTTTCCCCGAGTTGAGATTATCCCTGTATTCCCATGAGACCTAAGGTATGAGCAGGGTTAGCCTCAACTCGGAGAAAATGTAGATTCTTAGCGCTCTATTGTATTAACAACATTTTCTCGTGCTTCCTTTTGTCTTTGGTAAGTTCTTTGCGTAATAGAATCTGCTGTCAAGTAAAACAGCGGTTATTCGTTTTGAATTCGAAACTGGAGTATTGGAAAATACCGGGTCAGTGAAAAAGGCCAATGTAACTATCTCATCTACGTGGGGTGCACTTCGTGTCTATCGTTCTATTCTATTTTTATTTTTTGACATTTTTATCGTAATGAATTTATTGAGGGATTGGAAAAGTGACTAAAATTGACGAGTTTTGATATAGGACTAAACTCAGTAGAGCCGAATTTTGCTCAGTACGTTTACATGCACCGTCTGAATAACAAGAGAGTCAAGTGTACTAGGCACAGCTTTGAGTTTCATGGAGTCCAATGTCGAACAGGCTGACCATGTGTACCCGCAGTACACACTTAGCTTATCTCACTCCTCTTGTTTCAGGGGATAATGTACAATTTCATTGTATTTCAAACTGCAAAGTTATTCATACATGACTTCAAAACATTTCTATTTAAGGTATGCGGGTTTAAACGCTGTATAGTAATAATCATACGAAAACCGCATGATGTTGCGAACATGCAAAAACATTTCAAGAAATACAGCTGTTTCACAAAACATTGCATCAATCGTTTTCAACCATTTCCACGAGATTCAAAAGATGAAAGATCAGCGGCCATGTTGGTGAATGAACAATAGGATACTAATGAGAAATCTTTTGTTGATACTTGTTGATTCTTCTGTGCAAAATTGATTTATTTTTTAACCGAGCTTTCGGCTTAAGCAGCCATTTTCAAGGTTGTAGTACACGTGATGATCTAATCAAACGTAGTTAACTGAAAGCGCTCGAGGAAACTGTACAATACAAATCTTTTGTTAAAGTTCCTCCAAGATGGCCGCTTGCCGTGAAGTGAAAAGCGGGAAGCCGGAATACTGAAAGCATTAATTGTTGCTATGATAAAATCAATGTCATCTGACTTACAACATGACAATTCTTAGCTTAATTCCTTTTCATTGAAGTTCAAGACATTACGGAGCTGGTATAGTCATTCTTGCTGAAACCATAACAACTTCGTTGATCGGGAGATAGAACGACCAACAATGCATTGCGGTCTTGGATACACTATCTTCAGAATTCAACGTTTTTCTGAAATAAATTTATACTAGATTTACAAGCAAAATTACAAGATTTTTTTAAAATTTCCCATAAAATATTGTAMATATTAGATCCATGGGTCTAGGGCAAACCGCGACGTCGAATTTCACATGTACTAGTCGCAGTAGGTACRTGAGAGATTACACCTTCGACCCTGACCTTACTAGTATACATGGATTAGTTTCTTTTGAATCTTTYCTTTTTGTTGTCTTTTATTTCTAGTGAGATATTCAATTATCYCCAAASGGATATTTTTCCTTTTATCTCTATTAAATATCATTTTGCTTTTAATTTTCCGCTTTTCTTTCACGATTTCATAAACATTGCCTTTGTTTACGTCTTCACCAAACTGCTACATAGGAGTTGATTCACCTGCAAACGCGGCAAAGTCGCCTGCCGCGTTGTAGATGTATTACATGTAGAGATAAGTAATAAATGGCGAGAAAAATGTGCTTAAAGTTGTACATAAGAATTAATTAAGTGTCAAAATTATATGAATCACAAAAGCTGAATCAACTCTTTGATATAGTTTGATTGAATCTTATTGAAAACTGTATTGTTAGAATGTTCATCATTCATTTTGATTACGGCTATGTAGAGGTCCAAGCTTAGTTGGATCAGGTAATATAAACAGTAGTATAGGCCATGCACTCGTGAGGTTTTTGTTTTTCATTGAGATTCACATTWAAGTTGTGGAAATGAACTTTGTTAAAATTGACTGCCAAAACTGAGTTCACGTCTCACGTTTCAAATGCAGCAGTCAATTTTATACTGATGTATACATTGTCTTCGTGGTTTAATCATCTTTTTGCATCATCGTTGTGTCTTGTGTTACAACCAAAGGACCAAAGAATATCCTGAAAAATATGATACAACAAGCTATCGTCGCCATGTTGAACGAATGAGGAAATGTTGAAACAAATGAGGAATGCTTTGTTACTTTCTACCAACATTTGGCTGCCATGACACAATATAACGTGCAACTAGAAAATTCACCCTCCATGTTTATGTTTTCAAGCTTTCGATTAATTTATCCATGTCTTCACATATTAATATTGTTATTTTTCTAATCAGTATAATTCTTAATCTTTTTACTTTCGGGTTTTAATTCACTTGAACAATCATTTATCCTTGACGCGTTCACATCCTCTCATCCGGGATGAAGAATTCAAGTCCGGCTAAGATCAATTAATCTCGGCTCGAGTTCTTTTATTTTATTTGCCTTTACCTCCTTTTACTGTATATTTATTTGTTGTCATTTTATATCGCCTTGAAGGTTTTGGACATTAGGAACTAATAGAATATATCAAGGAATATATTATTTCCCGAGCTCAGTGCCGTAGCCACTTTTGCGGTTGGATGTCCGAGATCAAACGTTAAATTGGCTTTTTAGCTTGGCAAGCATGGCCAGAAATTCCGGACATTTGAGCCCGGGACGAGTCAGCGGGTTTTCCCACCAAAATAGAGCTTTCTACAAGTCCCTTGAGGTTTGAAGATCAAATTTTCTACTCTTATGCAACGATCCTTTATCTTAATACAATACTGGGCTAAAATCGAAACGTTCAAAACACCGACAAACGAGTATTGGGACAGCACGCCCTGATCCTTGAGTTCATTAGTGGCTTGTGAGGTGCTCGTTTGGAATGTTCATAGTGTAAATAATATTATTTGCTGGAACATACGTTTCCCTCAGGTATTTTAAACAATGATCATCAGTTGATATTGTGATATTTTGTTTATACTTGTAATTTCTAAGGAATTTAAAAGGTCTGACATTGTTTACACTAGACTTGATTGGCCCTATCTTTCGTTCGTATTTCCCGCTATCTGCGCTATTTACCAGTGCACGCAAGGCGCCAGTAAAAACCACCAAAATTAAGCAGTCCCAGTCTGAAAGCCACGTTTCTAAGGTTTATTTTGGTACCAAACATAGAGAATAAAATGGAAAGAAAATGGAAGATTAGGCCAAGTATTGGCGTGAAACACGCGTCTTCGCCAGCCATTTCACCGTCAAGTTAGTGTTTTCAAATTGTACGATTTCTAGTACCAAAAWGGACGCTGTTGATCGTCTTCAAAATAGCTGAAAATCGCTGTGTTTCTACTTCAATATGTGGACTTTGAGAAATGATCTATGGAATATCAGTGAAATGTAAAGGAACACGATCAGCCACGGTGAAATTTCGCTTCTTCGCGAATTTTCACCATGAGATACAAGGCCAAAGGGAGACGACGAAAGGAAAATATATTGTCAAAAAGGACGCTGTTAACRATATTGGATTTATTTGGATTTCSTACAGTGGAATCAAGAATAGTTTCCCTTTACGAATYCATCTATGGAWTYTTTCCAATTAAAACAGATGAAATGTTATTCTCAAAATTGTTTTTTGATCCATACATTTCTTTGTAAAATTTACATTCATGTTTTTRTGCATTTATGCGAAGTACCGCTGCGATTGCGGGCTCAAATGTCCGGATTTTCTGGCCATGACAAACAAGCGTAAAAGCTCGGCGACGGAAGGAAAAGTGATGCACTCTCATAAAAAAAAGAATGACAACTAACTTTATAAAATAACGTAAAAAACCTGAGCTCACTTAGCAAAACTTTGGTCACATGATTAGTTTTGATGTTTGGCGGATTCGCTGCAGTAAACAACATGTAAGAAGATCGGAGTAATTTTTTTAATCTTTGAGCCGGACCATTCTTCTAAACAGGACATCATTGGCTACGGAGCTATGGTGCGGCTGTTCTCCAGCAGACCATTTCTCCAGAACGGTCTCTAGACAAAGTCCATGAGGTCCAAAGTCTATGAGCTTCTTCGACAATAGCTATAGAGAACATTTCTTCAGCCCTAGACCTGATATCGTGAGCCGGCTGTTTTCAGTGGATTTTGGCGTTTATTTCGTTCACTGATTCATCGAGAAGTTATTTCTTATTCAGAGAATAATGATCGTCTAGACTAATGACGTCATGTGTGCTCTTGCGCGAGTGCATCATGGTAGTGCATGATGAAAGAATCAAGAGAGTGTTCACAATGGGGCAGTTGCTATTGAATTCGGCTAACGGTTAGAATTAGGTATTTTTAGGTTAAATTTAGGTAATTTTTAGGTTAAATTTAGGTAATTTTTAGGTATTTTTAGGTTAAATTTAGGTAATTTTTAGGTATTTTTAGGTTAAATTTTGATGCCCATCATAACAGTTAAAATATAGCACATAAGTTTATTCATGTTATTTAATGACCGAGTATTCAACAAACTATTGGAGTAAAAGACTAGAATGAGTTTCTGAAATCAGGCAAATAACCGACGAGTATAAACAAGGACACAAAACGACCTTAGAATAAAATGTGAAATTTGAAACTAGAAAATTAGTATTACTATATTTCAAGGTGATTACGATAATTTTTTTTAGTTTTCATTTGGCTTTGCCCTCATCCGTTTTTATTAGAATTAAATTTTTATACTTCATTACTTAATTTTAATATTACGGCTAACGATAAGACTCTCTGAAGATAGCGGACCACTTCATGAACCGTTCGGAAGATAAAGTTTCTTTGCCAAAAGAAAAGAGTCTAAAATGCCAGAAACATGAAAGAAAAACAACAACAATTCATACTTTTGTTACATCCCATGGGGCTCTCGATGATCATTAGTTATGGGAAAAAACACCATTAACAAAGTGAAAATCAAATGATTTTAGAGGTTTTTTTTTTTTTTGAGGTTTCTTCTGGACGCCCCATGTTGCACTTTAAGAAACTAAATGACATGCTTTTAGCACTTGTTTCGCGTCAGATCTTCTTTTARTAATATTGAATAAACTCAATCCCATAACAAGAAAAATTATTTTCACATTAGTTCTTTGCAAGATTGGCCGCCCTATGTTCAAAATACTCCATAATATACTTAAAAGGGCTCACACACGCCAAACAAGATTAACGGTGTTGTCACTGCTTAGCAATTAGACCACGACGTCACGTGGACTACAGGTTGAGAGTCCACCCGAAGGTCCACGAGTCTGACTCGGACTCTCAACTTCTAGTCCAGGAGACCGATGTTTTTTTCGACTTGTTTTGCTTTTCTCTGTGCGATCACGGTTTAGCGTGAATAGACCACAGTTCAGTAGCCAATCAGAATGATGGATTTCTGATTGTCACTCGCTCACTGGCTGATTTGGGATCGATCACGTGTGTACTAGAGAAAATTGTCACTTCTCTCGTGACTCAATAGAGCTATATATATTCCCCTTCCCAAAATCAAAATGACTTGTTCATTACTCAAGCGTGCAAAAATGGCCGACGAGCTAGAAGTAGAAGAGGCTCGTAGGAACTACAAGGAGCGCCGCTGGAGCATAGTTTTGGCGACTTTTATCTCGGCAATCAGCTCAGTGACTTTTGGATACAGCTTGGGCTACTCTTCTGCAGCAACTACAGCTCTCAAATGGACGGAGGACAAGATCAATAGCACAGAATTATCTTTGAATGAAGACGAATTAACATGGTTTGGGGTAAGGAGATTCTTGCAATGTCATTTGATTTCATTAAAAAATTTTTAAAAAGGATTTCTAAAGGATTTTTTAAAATCAACTGCTAATGGTGCAGCGAAGAAGCAAAAAAAATGTTTATGAAATTGTGCAAGAAAAGCAGAAAATAAAAGCAAAATGATATTTAAAACTGAGATAAAAGGAAAAATATCCGTTTGGGAACAATTGGATATCTTACTAGAAATAAAATACAACAAAAAGAAATTAAAAGTTTCAAAAAAAAGTAATCAATATATTAGTAAGGTCAAGGTCGAAGGTGTAATCTCCCATGTACATGTGATATTTGACGTCGGGGCTAGTACATGTGATATTCGACGTCGGTTTGCCACAGACTACTTCGTATATATATGGTGTGGTAAATCTCATGGCAGGATGCTTTCCTAAACCATAGTTAATGAGCAACAAGCGTTGATGTGCGGTTCTGATTTGCGAGATCAAACGTCAAATTGGCTTTTTAGGTCTTTTTAGCTTTGTTGTCAAAAAAGACAAACAAACCTAAAAGCTCGGCTTCGAAAGAAAAAGTGATGCACTCCCATTAAAGAGAAAACGATAATTATAAGAAGATGAGGCATTTTTGGGAAATTATCAATTATCGAGAAGTGCTTTGTCGACATATCAAGCTGAAATGCCACGAAAAACACCGCGAAGTAATGGCCTGCATTCTGGTACTTTGGTATCCCATGGGGCTCTCAAAGATCATTAGCAAGTTAGGGGAAAACACCATTAACAAAGTGGAGATAAAAATGATTTAGAAAATCAACACCAAATTCTGGGGAACCTATCTTTTTGTTTTAAGTTTTTTTCGGACTGGACGCCCCACGATGCTCTTAAATTAGAAACTAAATGACATGCTTTTAGATGTTGTTTCGTTCTATCTTTTTTTTTAATAATATAAACTCAAATAACAAGGAAACTATTTTCATATTTGTTCTTTGCAAAATTGGCCTATAATATACTTTATAGGCAGCTTACATAGGGCAAACAAGAAAACTCTCTTCTCAATCGTTCTCACTGTTAGAATTTTAGCTAATTTAAGAGCACGTAGGGGTCTCGTGAACTACAGTTGAGAGTCCACACAAGAGTCCAAAACTCCTAGTCCAGGAGACCAATGGTTTAGCGTGAATAGACCACAGTTCAGTAGCCAATCAGAATACTGGATTTCTGATTGTCACTCGCTCGCTGACTGGGGTCATCACGTGTCAACCAGAGGAAATTGTCATTTCTCCTACTCGTGACTCAACAGAGCTAAACATATTCCCCTTCACAAAATCAAAATGAATCGTTCATTACTCAAGCGTGCAAAAATGCCCGACGAGCTAGAAGTTGATAGGGTTCGCAGAAACTCTAAGGAGCGCCGTTGGWGCGTTGTTGTGGCGACTTTCATCGCTGCTCTCGGCTCAGTGACTTTTGGTTACTGCTTGGCCTACTCTTCTGCAGCAACTACAGCTCTCAAATGGACCGATGATAAGATCAATAGCACAGAATTATCTCTGAATGAAGATGAATTAACATGGTTTGGGGTAAGGAGATTCTTGCAGTGCCATTCGTTTAGGCATAGTTAAGTTAACTATTAACTATGGCTTAGGAAATCATTCCAGTCATGAGATTTAAGCTCAAGTTAAGTACCACACCGTAGGAAGTTAAGGTATTCATGCAGAAGGGGGTCCAAATTCCTGAATAAACAATTAACTTTGCATGATACGTTTGGAATAATTGCTGCTTTTTTGGAAATAAACCTAGAAAAATCGATCGTTTTTTTCTGTGAAAATAAACTTGTGTGCACTGAATGCGCGAAGTAAAAATGCTCCTTAAACGGCGCCGTCCTCCCCAAACTCAGCTTAATGGACAGTTCCTCCAACGAAAATTCTTGGTAAGAACGAGCATGCATAAATCTGATTTCACATTCTTTGTAAATTTTGGATGCATAGTTCATGTTGCCATATATGCCTCAATTCTTGAAAAACATGATTTTCAACCATTCTTTTTTTTTTCTCATTCATTAGCACATTTTTCATTTAACCACTTATGAAACTTTTATTCAGCAACTTACTTGCATGTTCATATCAGAGACGGTTCACATTGCAACTCAAGCATAAACAAAACAAAACAAAACAAAAAAGACAAAAAAAATCCTATGATTTAGTAATTAAGAAGACAAAAGATGTTTGTCTTTGTTTATCCTTTGTCTTTTATTAACTGTGGTTTTAAGTAAATGTGTTTTTGTTCTGTTAATTGCTATAGATATGTTGGTGCACGCTTGACCTCATCTTTGTCTTTTTTATTGTTCTAAACTTTTGCTTCTCCATGTTTTAGTGCCTACTAACCATTACAGCACACTTCTAATATAAATATTTATCACATAAAACAGAGTACTAAACTCCCTTGGAAAAAAAATAAAATAAAATAAATAAATAATCAAAAGCAAAAGCAAAAATGGAATATTTGTTTCTCTGTATATATTCTACTGAATATAATTTATTGTATGAAAATGAATCAGAACATAGTGTATTATACATTTTTCTTGCTTTTTTAACTCCTTTACGTTCATGAAAAATCCTGTTCTCATTCAGTACCAAGCACTATTAGTCAGTAAATACAAACTAATGGGTGCTATTTACTTAATGATCTATTTACTAATGATCATATTGTGACTATATTTAGGCCATGATTATCCATGTGAGGTAGGGTGTCTCTGTGCTGCAGAGTCTCTAGAAAACTCCTTTGTTTTTTAAATCCCCCAGGGAAAATAAATCAAAAATTTGACTCTCTGATGGAAACAGTTCCTTAGTCCCTATCACTAAACTAGTATATGATATCCCATAATTTCTGATATATTTTATACATACCTAATTACGAAAACGTTGTCCTGAGATTTAAGGATTTAGGAAATTAAGAATACATTAAAAGACAAAGCATGACCACTGAAGCCAAACACTTTCGTTTGTTTTTTAATTAATTACTAAATAGTAAAAGTTCTTTTTGTGTAATTAGGTGTATACTTGGAATATGAGTCAAAAAGATCATAATTTTCTGCATGTTGCTGTATTTTGGATCATTCGACTTGATCATGATTTAACAAATATGGTATTATCGTCGTGTACGAGAAACCTCAGGGGAGTTTATTGTAAATTTACCGTATGCAAATTATCCCGACCATAATTCGTGTTCACTTCGTTCTTATATATTAATTATTTAGTGAAATGTTAATGAGAAATTGTTTAAATACTAGAAAAAAAGAAGTGCAACCAAGCGAATTCACTCGTGGCGTAACCAGTTAGGTTTAGTGTTAATGATCGGATAGGTCATATTTAGGGTTCGCAGGATCAAATCTTATCTGCGCGATCAATTTTTTTTCTAAGTGAGGATAACCAAAAACCTCAAAATATTTCTAAGTCCCACTCAAGTGTTCGGAAACATATGACGTACTTGGTTACACGGTACACGACGATACTACCACAAATATATATCGGAGCTCAGTAACCAATCAGAATGCTTGATTTATGATAGTCCATAGTTTGTGGATATAATTATATCTAAATAGTTGCTACCTGACGGTTCTTATTTAGTGACTATTTTTCATTATTTCATGGACTTGAAGGCAATGCACAGTACTGGGTTTGAAGCTTCATGCTTGTTCTATGTATACATAACCACACTTTATACTGCACTATATCTTTCCTTTATTTCTATATATAGTGTTTACATTATTTTGATTTTGATTTTGTTATTTAGTCACTCCTCAACATTGGAGCAATGATAGGAGCGCCCCTGGCTGGAGTTCTAGTTGACATCGTGGGTCGAAAAATTGCACTTATGATAGCAACCTTTCCCTTTGGTGCAGGATTTCTTCTTGTTGGACTTGGAAATTCTCCAGCGATTTTAATATGTGGACGTTTCTTATCAGGCTTTGGAGTGGGCATGGGATCGATGATTGTACCAGTGAGTACAAAAATAATGATAATAATTTTCAAGTACTAGCTCGATATCCTATTAGTTAATTGAGTTCTTATGATCAAGCTCAGGTAAACCACAATTATTATTCCACAAGTACAGTATTCTGTCCAAAAGTTGGCAGTTAAAAATCTTTTCAATAAAATAAATATAAGTAAATAAAGAAATAATGTTCTTTTTGGGCTTACTGTTCCAGGCTGGATTTCATTTAGATATTTATTGCCGGTGCTGATATTTTTAAATAATAATCCTGTGTAATCTATAAGAATGTCCAGGTAATATCCTGGACGGTATAATTAACACACCTCACTTTTCTCCTTTTTCATAGACCTACATATCAGAAACAGCCTCCCAGTGCATGCGAGGGGCCATGGGAGCTGTCAATCAACTTGGGATAGTCAGCGGCATTTTGCTATCATATATTGTGGGTTGGGCTACGACTTGGCGTTGGTCTGCAATTATTGGTGCCTTCCCTCCAGCTGCTCTTCTCATTCTTATGGCTTTCATGCCTGAGACAGCTCGATGGTACATGTCCAAGAAGAGGGAAGATAAAGCTAGGAAGACTTTACAATGGTTACGTGGCCCTGATATGGACATCGACTTTGAGATTGCTGAAATTAGAGAAAGTTTGGGTAGGTTTTTACAGTATATTTTTAATACAATCACCCACAAAGGTTTCCCATAAATGTTATAAATGTTGGAGTAAAATATGATGATTAGGCATAATTGCCTAGTAATAATAAATAATAATTAGTAACAATTAAGTGATAATGAAACATAAAATAAATTTTGAGAAGAAAATATGTAGAATAAATTAAAAAAAGAATAATGTTGTCAGTCATGAAAAGGTCATCTTCCTGAAAGCAGCCCAAATAAGTTGTAGTTAAAAGTTTCACAACAAGTGAAAGACCTTTTCATGACTGGCTGCATGTAGACAGATGTTATTATCAAACAGAATACAAAGTCCATTATATTACAGTAATTTAGCTTTACCGGCTTTTGTTACCTTCTTTTCCCTTATACAAAATCGATTCGAGACGTGCCAAGCACTAAAAGTGGCAGAGCCATCCTGGGGATAGCTTAAGTAGACAGCAATCATTGCTATAGTAAACGAACTAAATATACTCAAAAAGAAGTGCTTTTTTAGAATGCCAAAGCCAGAGAATTGTGGTGTTCCTGGATGTTTTAACAACTTCAGGGATGACTTGTTTGTTGTGGCAAAGTGCTTCAAGATGGCCAATATCCATATTTGCTTCATGGTGGAATTGGCAAAGATAGCACATGATTGAAATCATCCTATCATAAATATCTAGCACCAGGGGCATATCCAGGGGAGGGTCCCAGGGTGCCTGTGACCCCCCTTTCAAAGCCAAAAAAGCGAGAAAACCATAGATTGATATGACATCATATTGACATCATATGAGCCCTACATCTAAATTAACCCTTTTTTCTCTCCACTCTAGTTAATTCCTTGGTGTGTATTTCCTTTTTCAGTTTCAAGTGAAKCTCGAGGAAATTTCTCTATGAAGGAGTTTGCTAGCCCAAGTCTATGGCGTCCCTTTGCAATCAGCATGGCTTTGCATTTCTTCCAGCAGTTTAGTGGTATCAATGCGGTTATGTTCTACTGTGCCACGATATTTGAGAAAGCAGGATTTCAAGACAAGAGCACATTTATACCAATTATCATTGGGGTTGTTCAGTTTGTAACATCAGTAATCTCCCTATTCATCATTGATCGAGGTGGAAGACGMCTTCTTCTACTTACTGGCTCAATAAGCATGTCAATCAATCTTGTTATAGCAGGAATCTATTTCTATCTGACCGTRAACAATTTAGATGGAGGAATGGATTTATCCTGGATTGCTGTGGCTACAATGTGTGTGTATATTGTTGCGTTTGCGAGTGGATGGGGGCCTTGCACRTGGTTAATGATGAGTGAGCTGTTCCCCATACGAGCCAGGGGAAGAGCCAGTGGAATTGCAACATTGTTTAACTGG